GAGAGAGAGACAGGGTCACATCACAGTGTGGAGTCAGCTTTCTTAATCGCGGCTTGTGTACTGCAAATATATACGAGAATCATCACTGTGACGCGACTCTGTTCCCCTTTCGGGCTTGAACTGATGGTAAAACTAAGGACATTATTTACTGTCTTTACATTTATGTTGAAAGCTGAAACTCGCGATTATGGAAAGGTGCGTTACAATTATGATGCTTACTTGTGGTGTTCGGCCAATCACAATGCACTGGGTCAGCTGGCCAATCAGAGCAGACTGTGCTTGTCGGAAGGAGGGGCTTTGTAGAAATCGACATGTTTGAGAGAGGCAAGGCATAGAGGAACTACAATAATGTACAGCATTTGAAAAATAATGTGTTTTTTGAACATTAAAGCATGTCAACATTGTTACACCAAATAATGATCTTTAAAATAGCATCATATGACCCCTTTTAATTTAAATGTATTATCAAAAACGGTAATCAAATGAATGCTTAAAACTTTAACAATTTAATTAATCTTTATAAATTAATTAAATGAATCACCAATCATTCGCACATAAATGAGGTTGTGTAGTAATCAAGATCTATAATACCTGAAGAAAGCTATTAGCCATTTCTAACCAGTCAAACCTTGACCTCCTTCACAGCTAATGGACATGGGCTTCTCCAGAGAGCATGCGATGGAGGCTCTGCTAAACACCAGCACTATGGAACAGGCCACGGAGTACCTGCTCACACACCCTCCACCACTGCTCAGCGCAGCTGTCAGAGTAAGACTAACACACAGACAAAACTCTTTCTCTCACACACACGCACGCACACACACAAGCATACACAGACAGGATGCACACACAGGCTATAAGTTAGTGTAGTTACTGTGAGCTTTGTTTCTGTAGGAGTTCACCATGTCTGAAGAAGACCAGATGATGCGGGCCATTGCCATGTCTCTAGGTCAAGAAGTTAGCATGGAGCAGCGCTCAGACTCACCTGAGGTGGGCACCCACACGTTCATTATTACATCAGTTAAATAGGAATTACTGAGTAGCACAGCATAGGCCACCTCACCTGTCTACTTCACATCTTCACCAAGCTTTCCCTGCCTTTGAAGAGATTCACAAGTCACACCCGTGTTACTTTTTGTTTGTAGGAAGCAGCTCGTCGGCGTGAGGAGGAGGAGAGGAGAGCAAGGGAGCGGGTAGAAGAGGAAGAGGCACGCTGTCTGGAGCGATTCCTGGAAGCTGAGCCTCTAGACACCACAGAGCTACATGCCTTCACAGACTCGATGCTGCCTGGCTGCTTCCACCTGCTTGACGAGCTGCCGGACACAGTCTACCGCCTCTGTGATCTGCTCATGACTGCTATTAAAAGGAACGGCCCTGAGTACAGGGACCTCATCCTCAGACAGGTGGTCAATCAGGTCAGTATACCCGTATGTGCACACAACATACTAATTGGAATAGGTATTTTTGGCAGTTACTGAAAGTTACTCAAGCACATCTAGTCAAATAGCTGGTCACACGTGGCTGAATGTATTTCTTATGGACTTGAAAAAAACATTTTGATCCTAAAGGCTTATCTTTTAAATGCTTAATTTTGTAGACAAATAAAAATTTTTTTTTACAAAACTATTTTTTTGTTGCTGTTAGTCAGAGTAAACTATACTATTAAAAATATGCTTGTTAATTATGGACCATGTTTCTGAATATACATTTATGGTCATTATTGACTGCTTGCCCAGTGAGACCAGCAGTTTAGATTTCTGCCTGCCCTGCCAGCATTTCCCTGGCCATAACAAAAATTATTAAAAGTTTAAAATGTTAATAATTAAATTTATACATTAATTTAATTTATACATTTTATGGTAAAGTGTATAATTTTTACTTTAATATTATTGAATTTCTTTTTAAATTTATTTTGTACGTTGCCGTTTGAAAGTTCAGGGTTTTTATGTTTTTAAAAGAAGTTTGTTCACCAAGGCTGCATTTATTATTAGAATTTTAATATTATTTTAATATGATTAGAATTTAAAGTAATGGCTTTCTATTTTATAATATTATTGTAATGTATTCCTCTGATGGTAAAGCAGAATTTTCAGCAGCCCTTACATCAGTTTTCAGTGTCTCATGATCTTTCAGAGATCATTTTAATATGCTAATTTGGTGCTCTGGATACTTATCAATATTGAAACATTAAATGTCTTTACTATCACATTTTACTGCGTCTTTGCTGAATACAAGTATTATTTTATTTGGGAAAAAAAGTACTGACCTCAAATGTTTGAATGGTAATGTATATTTTTTTCACACAAATGTATTTTTTAAATTTTTATTAAATGTTTAATTTTCTACAAAGAAAATTTTAAATAAGTGCAGGAAATTATAACTGTATATAGGTTTGCAACACACATAAATGCTTGATTAACAGGTATAAGCTGTAGTGCTGGTTACATTACTGTCAGCTGGCCCAAAACTCTCTCACACTGGGCCCAGGTCAGTAGGCCATCCTTATTGTTGAGCCCTGCACCTATGGTGCTTAACTATAATTTCTGGGTAGGTTTTGAGTTAAAACCATGACCCTATTCTCATCTGTATGTTTGTTTATTTCCAAAGGTGTGGGAGGCTGCCAACGTGTTGATAAAGGCTGCAGTGCCGCTAACAACCAGCGACACCAAGACAGTGTCTGAGTGGACGAGACAGATGGCAACCCTCCCCCAGGCCTCCAACCTGGCCACCCGCATCCTGCTGCTCACGCTGCTCTTTGAGGTACATGGTCTTGCACAGTCGGCTGCACACATCATCACTATTTATTTATACACTATCCTCTAAAAGAACTTATGGATCTGCATGCACAAGTAAATACACCCATTGTCGTGTCGTGCTATGTGCTGCAGGAGCTGAAACTCTCATGTGCTCGGGTAGTGGAGAGCAGTGGTGTCTTGACTGTGCTGATCAAGCTGTTGGAGGTGGTGCAGCCCTGTCTGCAAGCTGCCAAAGAGCAGAAGGACATCCAAACACCCAAGTGAGTCCCTGTCCTTCCCCTGTCTGCATGAGTGATCGGTTTGCACTCAGGCATCAGCATTCCTAGAAAGCTCTGCTGACCCAAGCATGTTAAAAACGGAGAAGCAGAATTTGTTTTATAGAGGAATAATGTTATGTTTGGGCTCTTTTGCAACAATTTACAGCATTTTTAATGTAATAAGATATATAAACAATATGTTTCCCATATATATTTTAAAAATTGTGTTTATTTGTAGATGGATCACCCCTGTTCTCCTGCTTATTGACTTCTATGAGAAAATGGCTGTTTCATCCAAACGAAGAGCTCAGATGAATAAGGTTGGTGCCAGATGAAGTATAAAGGCAGTCCGTTATAATCCTAAACTGTCAGTATGACAACAGGGAACAAGTTCTGTATCTAACGGAAGTGTTATGTTAACTTTATTCTTATCTTAGTACCTGCAGCCCAGTGGGAATAACTGGCGCTGGTTTGATGACCGCTCAGGCCGCTGGTGTAGCTACAGTGCGAGTAACAACAGCACCATCGACTCAGCCTGGAGGGCAGGAGAGACCAGTGTCCGCTTCACTGCAGGCCGTAGAAGATACACTGTCCAGTTCAACACCATGGTGCAGGTAACGGCTACGACCTGGGCAAAACGCTTGTTTTGTGGATCAGATAGAAATAGAAATGTGATTATTTGTCAGTGGCCATACAGTATGAGTAGTAGATCTTTGTTAGATTCTTTGTGTTTCTCTTTTTTCAGGTGAATGAGGAGACGGGGAACAGACGGCCGGTTATGTTGACGGTACAGCGGGTGCCGCGGGTGCCCAAGACCTCAAAATCCGGGAGTGTTACTGATACAGAGAGAGAAGAGAGTGAACAGCGAGCAAAGACTGAAGAGACACAGACTGACACAGGTGGAGAAACAGCAAGCCTATAAAGTTTAAACATTTTTTTCATTGTGTGACGGGGAAAAAAGTTACTGAGTGCACCTTGTTTCTGCTTTTCACAGAGTTTTGGCTTTGGCCAAGAATGAAATGTAATTAATTAAATACTATTTATAATTAAACAAATAATTATTTAAATTCATTAGCATTTTGGATGTTTTTTTATTTTTATTCAATTGTATATTTTTTTGTTTATTTTGAGTTTATTACATTTTTCTTTATGACTTTTTCAGATTCCGGCTCTGTGGCTGTGGAGATGGCGCCCCCTAAAGAAGAGTCAGAGCAGAAGGAGTCAAGCACAGCAGCTCCCTCTACCCTTCAGGACCCCTCTGGTTCCAGTGGGATTGTTGTACAGGGGATGACGGAGGACATGATCACCGTTTTGATCCGCGCCTGTGTCAGCATGATCAGCGTTCCCGTGGATCCGGACACTTTACATGCCACTTTGCGTCTCTGTCTGCGTCTCACGCGTACACACCATTACGCCATGATGTTTGCAGAGCTCAAGAGCACTCGCATGATCCTGAACCTCACGCAGAGCTCAGGGTTCAATGGCTTTACCCCTTTGGTCACTCTGCTCTTCCGTCACATCATAGAAGACCCAGCCACCCTGCGACACACTATGGAGAAGGTTCATTTTCACCCGAAAACTACATTTCTATTATCTTGGATGTATTATCTAAAATAGTTTGTCCTTACTTGATCACTCTCTCTTTTCTCAGGTGGTACGGTCTGCCGTCACCAGTGGTGCAGGAAGCACTACTTCAGGTGTGGTGTCAGGTAGTCTGGGCTCCAGGGAGATCAACTACATCCTACGTGTCCTCGGCCCAGCGGCCTGTCGCAACCCAGAGTGCTTTATGGAAACTGCCAAGAGCTGTATCCGAATTGCTCTCCCGGCTGCAAGAGGTGCTGGCACTGGTATGGTGGAAAACCTCCCAGAAATCCACCCAAAAATAATAAATCAGCATATAGTGTTGTTCTAAAGCCTAATAACCAATCACAATCTCTCTCCGTTAATCAGCCTCAGATGATGAGTTTGAGAACTTCAGAATTAAAGGTCCAAATGCTGTTCAGCTTGTGAAGACGACACCCCTGAAGCTGTCCCCACTGCCCTGCATACCAGAGACTATTAAAGAGGTCATCTATGACATGCTGAATGCCCTAGCAGCATATCACGCCCCAGAAGAGGGTAAGACAGAAAAATGAGAGCATGCGTTTTTATTTAGTTCATGGTCCAGATCTATCAAGCTGTCATCTCTCATCAACATCCACTTCTCTCAATGCTTGGGGTCCATTTGGGTTTGTTTATGTGTAGCAGAGAGAGGAGAGGAGCGGGCAACCTCAGTACCAGGAAGTCAAGACCTGTGTCAGATCCTGCAGGATGTCGGTGATGATGTCTACCAGCAGTACAGACTTACCAGACAAGGCAGTGATTTTGATTCGCAGTCTGCCTTCCACATCAATGTAAGAGTTTTATATATGTTGTGTAATATCTGTCAAATTTTTGTGCATTGCATCAATTATCAAAGAATGCCATACTTAGCATCTCTATTGATAATAAGATCAATCTATTTTATGCAGACCTAGAAAATTCAGCTAATTTTTTTTTTCTCTACATCTGGATAAGTATAGCAAAATATTTGTTTCCAGACTAATTGGATTTTTTAAAGCCATTTGTCAGATGAAAATTGAATGTTGGAAATCTGCTATATTAATGACATTAAAATGTGTGGTTTGGTGCTTAGAAATATTTTTTTACTTTTCGGAACAATCAGACATGTTCTTTCTGGTGGACTAGTGGAAAATATTGTTCATTGAAAAATGAAGATGGACTTGCTGGACTTAGGGTGGCAAAAAAGCTTCCTCAACACTTTATTCACTACATAGCACCAGGCCTGCTCCAATGTTTTTTTGTTTTTTTTTTGTATGGAAAACACTACTCACTTATGTACAAATCTAGTTCAACTAGCTGCTCTGTGAAAAACACAAGTAGCCCCAAGTGTACAGTATGTGTACTATAATGGGCTCAGAAATGTAGGATTTGCATTAATAGTGGGTGTTAATTATGCTCTATCAGACTCAGGTGTTTGCTGCAGATGGTGCTGTTGCAGAATCCTCCCAATCTGGAACTCCACAGGGAGAAGGTGTGAACTGCTATACATACACACAAACTTTAAAGCTTAAAACCGTTTCTTTATACAATGACCATGTTTTTCTCACTTTCACTGGTTTCTTGACTTGCCCTTGTAATTTTTTCCTGTCATTGCTCTTTCTCTGTCTAGCCTCTACGCCTGAGGAAATGCGTGAAGAGAAAAAGGAACAGGAGGGAGAGAAGGGAGCTTCCTCGGAGGAGAGCCGAGCTGCCAAAGCTAAGGCCAGCAAACCCCTGATGCCTACTTCTACCATCCTGAGGCTGCTTGCAGAGCTGGTGCGCTCCTATGTTGGCATCGCCACTCTCATCACCTCTTACAACTACGCAGCTGGCCAGTCAGAGCTCATTAAGGAGGTGAGTCACATCAGTAGTTGTACAACCAGTGTTTCGGGTCAAAGGTTTCATTTTTCACGTCACTGTTTTTAGAGAACTGAGCCTGTTTATGCAATATTGAGTTACATATATTTTTTCTTTCATCTTAGCAAACATCATTCATCATGTGTAATAATTTTGACCATATATATGTACAGGATTGCAGTGTGCTGGCATTTGTTTTGGATCACTTGCTCCCACACACCCAGAACTCAGAGGACAAGGACACCCCTGCCCTTGCACGACTTTTCCTGGCCAGCCTCGCTGCAGCTGGCACAGGCACTGATGCCCAGGCGTCCCTGGTCAACGAGGTCAAGGCTGCTTTGAGTCGAGCTTTGGGCATGGCAGAAGGCACAGAGAAACATGCCCGGTGAGTCCAGCTGCCTAGTCACTATACTAAAATTTACTTTTAAACAATTAAGACACTGAGAATGTACTTAATTGGATATGTACAACTTGACTAAACTTTGACTTTTCTCTCTTTGCAGCTTGCAAGCAGTGATGTGTATCATCAGCACCATTATGGAGTCGTGTCCCTCCACCTCGAGCTTCTACAGCACAGCCACAGCCAAGACCCAGCACAACGGCATGAACAATATCATCCGACTCTTCCTAAAGAAAGGCCTTGTTAATGACCTTGCACGTGTGCCTCATAGCCTTGATCTATCCAGGTATCACAATAATAATAATAATTATGAACATTTGATATATCAGAAGTATGTAAATTTTAAGGCAAATATTTGTTTTTTGTTTAATTATGTTTTTTTTATTTTTTCTTTGTCCTAACCTTGGTGATTTTGCCTAATTGATTTTTAGGCAAAAGGTAATTTTTTGATTTTGTTTTATCTCATTGCTGTGCTTGGTTTCTTGCAGTCCTAATATGGCAAACACAGTAAATGCTGCTCTGAAGCCTTTGGAGACATTGTCGCGAATTGTGAATCAGCCTAGCAGTCTGTTTGGGGGTAAAGGGGGATCCAGCAAGAACAAGACCGAGCATGACACTGTTGGCACAGTCAGGGACAGCAACAGCAACACCCAAGATCAAGGTAATGCTCATATCATTGATCACTTTAACTCTCAGCAGAGTATGGATGCAGTGCCCTTGCTGAGTGTTGTGTGTTTTATATCTAATTTTGTGTACAGGGGAGGCAGAACCAGCAGAGAATCGTGACCGTGGTCAAGCCACAGATGCCGACCTGATGGATGGAGAAACCGAGGGTGACACCGTGGTCATTGCTGGACAGCCTGAGGTGCTAAGCACTCAGGCCATGCAGGTTAGAAGCACAGCAGTTTGTGGAACTGTTCTCTGTTGTTGAATATGAAAACCCTCCTCCAGCTGAACAATGTTTGTTATTCATGTATTCTTGTAGGTGGAGAATGAGTTGGTGGATTTGATTGATGAACTTTTAGAAAGAGATGCAGGAACTGTTAATAGCACCATCATTGGTAAGTGATTTATTTGGTTTCTGGCCAAATATGGAAGCGATACAGAGTTGGATTTGTGTTTTTGATTCGGTTTTATGTTAATTAGTGGGTCGCTCTGGAGAGGATGAGTCTCAAGAGGACGTGCTGATGGATGAAGCTCCTTCCAATATGAGTCAGGCCTCCACTCTCCAAGCCAACAGAGAGGGTAGGACGTGGATCTCTTACATATTCACTCTTGGAACTTATGATGACAGTGACCCATAAATGCTATAGCCTGCTCTGACCCATAAATGCTATAGCCTGCTCATTGGGCCTTATAGAAAAGGGGCCCACCCTCTGAATTTCATTGACTCCATCTGAAACTTATGTTATGTTTCACATTTATATTATGATTCACACTGGGAATTTATACTTTATACTATCTTTATACTCCTCAAATCTGTAGCCATTTTGTTCTCTTTACTGATTTAGACTCTATGAACATCCTTGAGCCAGAAGATGAGGAGCACACACAGGAGGAAGACTCCAGCGGCAGCAACGAGGATGAGGATAGTCAAGATGAGGAGGAAGAGGAGGAGGAAGAAGAGGAGGAGGATCAGGTAATAGTTGTTTAAAAAGCAAAGTCAGAAACCACCCTAGAGAAGAGTGATCCTCTTGTTTTTGTTTTTTTACATTTTTCTCATTTTGTTATGTGTTCTCAGGATGATGAGGAGGGAGATGAGGATGATGATGATGAAGGTTCAGAAATGGAACTGGATGAAGATTTTCCTGATATCAATGCTGCTCCACACATTCGTTTTGAGAGATTTGACCGAGACGATGACCTCATCATTGAGTTTGATAACATGTTCTCCACATCTGGTAAGAAATTAGTAGTTTAATAAACATCTTTCAGCTACTTTACATTTATTCCCTTTTTAGTCAAAGTAGTCAGCCATAAGATTTTTTTTTTTTTTTTTACCAAATGTGTCACGTCTATTCTATCTGTCTTTTGTGCACTTTAGCTGACATCCCTCCCTCACCAGGAAATATCCCCAGCTCCCACCCTCTGATGGTGCGTCACGCTGACCATGGCTCACTGACTCTGGGGGGATCAGGCACCAGCAGCAGATTGGCTCAGGGCATGGGACGCAGCCAACGCTCTCTCCGCCAGCTCACGGCCAACACAGGTCACACGGTCCATGTACATTACCCTGGTAACCGGCAGCCCAACCCTCCTCTCATCTTGCAGAGGTGAGTCCTTTAATGAACTTTTTTGCCTTTGTTTTATTTAAGATATGAAATGACATGATTTACAGTGGTGCAGAAATGTGCACATTTTATTATTTTATTAAATGTGCACAAGTTAATTGTTCTTTTTTACCCCTTTAAAAATAACTGCTTTCATTGCTTTTCTTGGTTTCCTGTAGTTCCAACATGGCAAACATCATAAATGAGACTCGTTTGCAATTCTGTTTGTTGCCACTGCAGCTTCAAATTCCTTTTTTTGTGTGTGCGTGTCAGATTATTGGGCCCCAGTGCTGCAGCTGATATCTTGCAGCTGTCAAGCTCTCTGCCTCTGCAGTCTCGTGGTCGTGCACGTTTACTGGTGGGCAATGAGGATGTGCACATTATTGCCCGTTCGGATGATGAGCTACTGGATGACTTCTTCCATGAGCAGAGTAGCACTGGAGGACAAGCTGGTGAGTCTCCCACAGACAAGCTGCTTTAAAATTAACGATTGCAGATGCACCTGCTAAACCCTTGTGTTGTACAGGCACCCTTTCAAGCATCCCGACCGCCTTAACCAGATGGACGGATGAGTGTAAAGTCCTGGATGCCGAGAGCATGCATGACTGTGTGGCAGGTGAGACAATCTCAAAATGAATATATTACCATCTGTTGTTTATGCACTGCAGGAAGAACTGCTAAACGAGTTTTTCTCTAATGTCAAGTCTTGTGCTTGGTCTCTCAGTGGTGAAGGTCCCCATACTGCAGCACCTGGAGAGCTTGCGTGATGAGGAGCTGGAGGAGCGCAGGGAGAAGAGAAGGAGACAGTTGGCAGAGGAAGAAGAGACGGCCAAACAGAATGAGAGTTCTGCAGCTGGAGAGGAGTCCCGGGAACAGAGCCTACAGGTAAAAGAGAATGGAATGTGAATGAATAAAGTTAGAAAATACGTTTGAAGCTTTAAATTGTAGTGTAGTCAACAGGCTGTATTGCAGACAGGTGCTTCTATTATAGACACTTAGTTGATTTATAATGGTAGCAATTGAGTTTTGATGTTTTGGTCATGTTTACAATTGCCAAGCAGTGTTGCTTGCCACATTATAAAGAATTTAGCTGATGTGCGGTCACACTTTCGAACGTGCCTCATCCATTCATACGCTACCGTACAGAAATGTTTTTGAAGAAAAATCCCTTACACTCACCAAGGCTGCCTTTATTTGATCAAAAATACAGTAAAACCGTAATTGTAAAATATTTTTATAATTTTCAATTTGAATACATTTCCAAATTTATTCCTTTGACTCCCACAGGACTTTTCAGAATTTTCAGCAGCCGTTACTCTAGTCTTTAATGTTACATGATCCTCCAGAAATCATTTTAGAATGCTCAAAGATTTTTTGATTATTTTCAGTGTTGAATAAAGTTGCAAAATATTTTTGTGAAAACTGAGATGCATTTTAAGGATTCCTTCAAAAACATTTATTTAAAATAAATCTTTTGTAACAATGTGCTGTTTAGTTCTCTTTTTTATTTAATGTAATGCAGCTGTTAATATGCTAATGCAATTCTTTATATTTAATTTATGAATTCTTTTGATTTGCTGTATAATGTGAAAAATATTAAATTTACCTTGATTTATAAGATTGAATTCAATCAGTACTGATTTATGGCAGTACCATGGGTATCAGCCAGGACAAAGGTCACATCCCTAATTCAGTGTGAATTTTACAGTAAGGGTGGATGAATTGTTGCTTTTATTTCCCACAGGGCTCTGGGCTTGGAACAGTCAATGGAGCTGGAGAGAATGCTGCGGGTAAGAACGTTGCATGTTTGTATTTTTACAGAATTGAAAGTTAATAGCTAGTGTTTTTAGTGCATGTTTTTGTTAATTGCCATTTCATTGAGCACAAAAAATGCAAATCAAACAGTGTTTTGTTTCTAAACTGTAAAAATGTAATCACATATTTCATTGTGAAGAACCAGGATTCTGGATGAGCTCTTCTGCGGGCTGTGGGATGAGGTAGTAGTTTGTATAGTTTTAGGATCACACCAGATCTGGGAGATAACTATACAGTCTACTGTCTTTCCCACGGTAACCGCTTCTACAGCTGGATGATCTTCCTGGCCATCTCCAACAGTGTGGTAACGCTGCTAGGCAACAATCAATTGCTCAATCAATCGTTTCTAGGCAACTGTTCAATTATTTATAGGTTTACGTTTCTACATGAATTGTATTCACCACATTACTGTCAGTATGAACAAATCTACATTATTTTTTTTGCTTTTGGCTGTCAAATGTTTGAATGTTGTTATCGTCTTTAGTTGGATGAGGCTACAGTGGCTGTGTTGTGGTGAGGTAGTAAGTTGTGTTGTTGTTGGGGATCAGTATAGTGTGGCCCTCGAAGGAGATAACTATACAATTTACTGCCTTCCTCACTGCAGACCCTCAGTCACATGCCCTGCCTTTTCATTACCTTCTACAACTGAACTACAGTGTCATTTATCATGTTTATCTTAACTTAACATATCCACAATACTCATTTCTTCTCATTCTGTTATCTGGTCAGAAGGAGAACAGGCCCAGAGTGGAGTGTCGTCCTGCCTGGACCCTCCTCGCACCTCTGAGGGTTTCCTCACTGCGCCCCCATCAGGAGAAGTCACCCCAACCACCCCTGCCCCGCACGAGCAAGCCCTCGTGTCTCTGGAAACAGCCATCAGTCAGCAGGTGCACCAGCCAATCACGGAGCTGCTGCTGGCTGAGTCCAATCCTGACTCTCACGGAGCCTTGGCAGGAGCGGGGCTTCCCCAGCTCTCAGCACCTGATAGGCCGAATTGTGAGGCAGAAGCATCTCAGATGGAGATGTCACCTGCACCCACTATTGGTGAGAGAGGAGGAGGAGGAGCATTGGATGCAGTCAGGGAAGGTAGATTAACTTTGAATCCTGTAAAATTAGATTTTACGCACTGTGGTTCAGTGGAGTGACATTCACATTCACATCACAGTGAATTCTTCTCAATATTCGACTTAAAAAAGCCACGGCTAAATGATCTGTGAAGAGGCTGAGACTTTATCAAAATTGTTATATAATCCCACTGGATTCTACATGCAACTACTGGATGTCCTTTCCCAGATAACTATACAATTTACTGCCTTCCTCACTGCAGACCCTCAGTCACATGCCCTGCCTTTTCATTACCTTCTACAACTGAACTACAGTGTCATTTATCATGTTTATCTTAACTTAACATATCCACAATACTCATTTCTTCTCATTCTGTTATCTGGTCAGAAGGAGAACAGGCCCAGAGTGGAGTGTCGTCCTGCCTGGACCCTCCTCGCACCTCTGAGGGTTTCCTCACTGCGCCCCCATCAGGAGAAGTCACCCCAACCACCCCTGCCCCGCACGAGCAAGCCCTCGTGTCTCTGGAAACAGCCATCAGTCAGCAGGTGCACCAGCCAATCACGGAGCTGCTGCTGGCTGAGTCCAATCCTGACTCTCACGGAGCCTTGGCAGGAGCGGGGCTTCCCCAGCTCTCAGCACCTGATAGGCCGAATTGTGAGGCAGAAGCATCTCAGATGGAGATGTCACCTGCACCCACTATTGGTGAGAGAGGAGGAGGAGGAGCATTGGATGCAGTCAGGGAAGGTAGATTAACTTTGAATCCTGTAAAATTAGATTTTAGGTGGTTCAGTGGAGTGACATTCACATTCACATCACAGTGAATTCTTCTCAATATTCGACTTAAAAATGCCACGGCTAAATGATCTGTGAAGAGGCTGAGCCTTTATCAAAATTGTTATATAATCCCACTGCATTCTACATGCAACTACTGGATGTACTTTCCCCCGCCTTTTGCATTGCGTATGTTGAATTGTCTACCAATTGCGAACATGAGTTGAGTTTTTTTTTTCCCCTGCTGTCTCTGTCTCAGCTTCTCTCAGTCCAGATATAGCTGAAAGTTCAGAGCCTGTACCAGTGGGTGTGTCTCAGCTTGAGGGTTCACCCATGGATACAAGCAGTCCCGCCTCAGGAACGCAGGAAGAGCCAGCTGCCAGCTCCGCTCCACTCAATCACATGTCTCAGGAACTGTCAGGAAGTGGTGACAGTGGCCTCACAGACAGGCAAACAGATGCAGAAACAGGGTGAGTATTTGGACCACAGTACTTCATAGATAAATAGATCAGTAGGGATAGGCTATTATTGCATTCTTGTGTTTTTGTTTTATAATAAGTGTCTTTATTATCTTCATTACTACTACTACAACTATTATGTATTATAAATGAATAAAATAATAATAACAATTATAATGGTATTGATAAAATATTACTAAATTTTTTACAATTAATAATAATAATAATAATTGTACTAAAACATTACTGTTAATCTAGAAAATAGTGGCTGTTATACTGCTGATATATTATTTAGAAATGTTTGCACAAAATTGGTTAAAATTCACAAAAAATATTTGAGAACAATACACATCTGTTAGCAAGATAGTAGGATTTAGAGCTAACAAAATGCCTGAAGGTCTGTTTAGTCATTTATTGGCCAATGATGATGGTCTCAAATGGTTAAATATTGCTTAAATTATCTACCTGTCACTTGTTAGAAGCTTTCTTCCATTTGCATTTGAAAGTAAATTTGCTCTTTAATTTTAGTAAACAAGGGACCACACATCTAACAATAAGAATAATATACTTGGTTTTATATGACTATTGAATTCTTACCATATGATGATCTTTATTTCAGCTCAACTTCTGTTTCATCTCCTGGTGAAACCATGCCTCGGAGTGACAGTGCAGATAGCCAATCACAGGCAATCCAGGAGGAGCCCCTCCCATCCACCAGCAATGAAGAGGATGACCCTCTGGCTGGTTGGTGTTTCAGTTTAGATTGATGATGGATATAGCCATGAGCCATTTCTCAACTTTGTATCACATTTTTTGTCACTTCCTTGCAGGCATCAGTCTGCCAGAAGGCGTGGACCCATCTTTCTTGGCAGCGCTGCCTGAAGACATCCGTCGGGAGGTGCTGCAGAACCAGTTGGGAATCAGACCTCCTTCGAGGCCTCCTGTCGCCTCCACGTTGGCAACGTCAGCTAGCACTGTGCTGGCAGGAGGACCAGGGGTTACTGAGGTCAGCCCAGAATTCCTAGCTGCTCTCCCACCTGCAATTCAGGAAGAGGTATGAGTAACAATTTGCAGAGACATTTTAAATAACATGTCTGAACAGGAAAAGGTCTTGATGAATATTTTCTTATGCTATCAGGTCTTGGCCCAGCAACGGGCAGAGCAGCAGCGTCGAGAGCTATCCCAGCAACCTCTACAGGGCGATCAACCTCTGGACCCTGTCACGTTCATCCAGACCCTGCCCTCTGAGTTGCGGCGATCCGTTCTGGAGGACATGGAGGATAGCGTGTTGGCGGTCATGCCCCCAGATATTGCAGCAGAAGCTGCAGCACTGCGGAGGGAACAGGAGGCCAGGCAGAGACAGCTGATGCATGAGAGGTTGTTCGGTCACAGTTCTTCCTCAGCCCTGTCTGCGATCCTACGCTCACCTGCCTTCACAAGCCGCCTCGGTGGCAACCGTGGGGTACAATACACTCGATTGGCTGTGCAAAGAGGAGGGACATTTCAAATGGGAGGGAGTGCCAATCACAGCCGGTGAGTGTGACGATAAAAAGCGCTTGACGCTTGAAAAATACCAATAATAAAAATCTCCATGCTTTACCAGCTGCTTTTTGACCTTACATTAAATAAAACTGATTTTTTTACACTTTAATGCCCTGCAGGGACTTTTTTGATTCACACACATGCTACTAAATGCAATTTACAGTTTGCACACTTATTTTAGTTGCAAATGTTAGTGAAACACTTGCGCTGTATTTGTTTATGAACAAGTACATTTAATATCTCTAATTCATCTTTTGTTTGCTTTTGAATGTAGGCCCTCTAGCTCTAACGTTGATTCTCTTCTGCGTCTGCGGGGGCGTCTCTTGTTGGACCATGAGGCCTTGTCCTGCCTTCTAGTGCTGCTTTTTGTGGACGAGCCCAAGCTCAATACCAGCCGCCTCCACCGAGTGCTGCGTAACTTGTGCTACCACTCTCAGACACGTGGCTGGGTCATCCGCAGCCTCTTGTCTATCCTTCAGCGTAGCAGCGAGAGTGAGCTCTGCCTGGAGACTGCACGCCTGGAGGAGTCCCGTGGCAAGCGCTCACTAGGCCAGGGCCCATCGAGTGGAGGAAAGGCTTCCTCTTCATCCCCGCAGGCTGCTGTATCCTCTTCGTCATCGTCCTCCTCGTCATCTTCCTCTCTGGAGCTGTTGAACAGAGTGGAGTCGCGTAGTTCCAGTCAGCTCTCCTGGCTGTCTGTTTCAATGGACGCAGCTTTGGGATGCAGGACCAACATCTTTCAGATCCAGCGGGCGTCGGGCAGAAAACACATGGAGAAGCATTCAGCAGGAGGGGGCATGAGCTCGGGAGGGCTCGGAGGTGGAGTTTCAGGAATGGGAGTAGCATGTGCAGGGGGAGGAGGTGGATCAACTGTTCACATCCACCCACAGGCTGCTCCAGTTGTATGTCGACATGTACTAGATACCCTCATCCAACTGGCCAAGGTACTGGAGCACCTATTGCCAAAGGGCACTCATCACTTGTTAGTGCATTAGGCATGTGTATCATCAAATTTATACAAATTTAAATTATATGGTAGAAAATATGGTTAACACTCGGTCATGCATGAAAAAAAAATACCGTCTTGTACCGTGAAACCGGTATAATTTTGAAAAATACCGTGATATAAATTTTTGGTCATACCGCCCAGCACTATATGGTATTGAATTAAAGGGATAGTTTACCCAAGAATGAAAATTCTGTCATTATTTACTCACCCTCATGTCATTCCAAACCCGTAATCTTCGGAACACAAATAAAGATATTTTTAAATCCAAGAGCTCTCTGACCCTCCCATAGACAGCAAGGGTCCTACCACGATCAAGGTCCAGAAACGTAGCAAGGGCATTGGTAAAACAGTTTTCTTTTGGTACAAAAAGTATTCTTGTAGCTTTGTAAAATTACGGTTGAACCCCCGATTACGGGGTTTGGAACAACATGAGGGTGAGTATTTGATGACAAAATTTCAATTTTTGGGTGAACTATCCCTTTAAGTAACAAACCATCTCAAAAACAAGTTTAAAAAAAAAATTTTCATGACAAAGGAGTTCAAACATTAAATGCAATAAAGTAATACACAAGATGTACTAATTATACAGATGAAAGTGCAAGGCAATAAAGAACATTTGTTTTTAAGTTTTTGTTTCTCTCATTCTTATTTCTTCTAGGTGTTTCCCAGTCACTTCACTCAGCAGCGCTGTAAAGATCCCCTGTCGTCGTCCTTATCAGAGTTGGACACTCGTCTTTGTGCCAGCTCAACACCGACTCCCAGTGGAAGCTGCCGGTCTGGTGGCACCAGCCAGAGCAACTCCTCAGCTACCCTGAGTAATCCCACTTCTACCCACAATTTCCTGAGCGCCTGCACAGTTACACCACAGTCCCTGGGCATTTCCACTGATTTCTGGGATCTCCTGGTCAAGCTGGACAACATGAATGTGAGCCGTAAAGGCAAGGCCTCCATGAAGACTGTGCCTCTAGGGGGTGCTGGTGAGACAGAGGGGGCTCTATTGAGCCTTGAGGCGTCTCCACTGGGCCAGCTGATGAACATGCTCTCCCACCCAGTAATCCGCCGTAGTTCCCTTCTTACTGAGAAACTGCTCCGTCTGCTCTCTTTGATCTCCATCGCTCTGCCTGACAACAAGGCCACGGAGGTTCCAGCCAGCCACCCAGTGCCTCAGGCCCCAACTGCCACACCCTCTGCACCTACCACTCAAACCACAGTGGGGTCAGGGACCATCTCAGCGGTGGCAGGTACGGGCACCACGCAGGGCTCAGTGGGCCCGACGCCCTCTCAACCAGCCACCATGGTATCTGTTGCTACAAGCAGCACCACCACCTCCGGCAGTATTGCTGGTGAGTCTCTCTTAGAGCATTTAAAAACTGTTTAAAACGTGGATTAATACCAGCTGATTTGTGTTGCTATAACAGTCTCCACTGAGATAAAATTCTAATTATAAAATGGATAGTTCTGGTTCTTGAATAAGATTGGCTGAGCCACAGTTGAAGCCGTTTTAAAATAGCCTAATATAAATTAGGGCTGCTTGATTTAAAAACATCACAATTATTTGTCAGTATTGTAATCATGATTATTTAACACTTTTAGGAGTGGGTGATATGTATAATGCTGGTAATTGACCAGACAATTGTGTTTGTGATTTTGGCAGTAAAATATTCAAATGTTATATCTCATTATTTTAGCAGGAAAACAGAAGCCAGCAGTGAGCAGCACAGACATTGAAACCAAACTGGCCTCTACTGGACTAACAGAGAAACAGCTGCAGCTCTCTGTGGAGGTATTTAATGATGGTGCACGCACATATGTCGCCTCATGTATGGTTCTCCTAACCCTGGGCTCTTTTGACCCAGCTCAGCAGGCGGGTTAGTTATCTCCTGTGGTTTGTGTCCAGGTGCTGACATCCCACTCGTGTTCTGAGGAAGGTCTGGAGGACGCGGCCAACATCCTGCTGCAGCTGTCCAGAGGGGACGCACTGACCCGAGACACTGTATTGAGACTTCTACTCAGCGGGGCACGTCAGCTCGGATACACTCTCTGCAAACAAATCGGTCAGTACTACATTATTACCCTGTTTTTGGTAGTATGGGCACTCATTATGGCAGGATTAAGTGCTGAATAGTGAATATGTGCTATATGTATATGGCAAGGCATATGCTAATGTGCTCGTGATTATCACCATCATGAAGGTTTGTGAATAACCTGAAATTATGAAATGTAATCTCTCTCTTTTGCTTCTGGTCTGTATTTAGGCACTTTACTGGCGGAGTTGAGGGAGTATAACCTGGAGCAGCAGAGAAGAGCACGTGCTGATGCTCAGTCTCCTGAAGCTTCTCATGAGGACCCATCCATCACCACACGCCTAAAGGGCAAGATGACCAGCAGGTGAGGACAAACTTTCAACCTATGTTACCGTTTGGGGTAGATTTTATTATAATTTTTTTTTTTTTATATATATATTTGGAAAGTATATTAAGATTATTATCTATTATTATAAATTTATAAAATATAAGACTTTATTTGATTAAAAATCAATAATACTCTGAATTAATATTATTTTTTTCAACTTTTTTTATTAATTTTGTTACAAAACCCCCATGAACACTACAGAATATCAAATTATATAACAATTCAGAGTATACTTTCCCACCCCTACATTTATCAAACAGAAAATAATAAGTTATAAAATAAAGTAATATGCAAATACAAAAATGAAAGAGAAATAAAGATAATGAAATAACATTCACCGATGTATTAAAAAAAATTTTTTTATAGTACATTGATTTCAAATTACATTCATCATTACGTAACATTCCACTTTATCTATCTATTTACAAATTGCCTAAAAGGGGACCACACCTTTTTAAAAACCTCTGCTTTACCTCTTATTGTATATGTTAATTTTTCAAGAGCAAGGTTGTCAGACAATTCTTTAATCCACTGTGAAAGAACAGGTCTTTGGATGTTTTTCCATACTAAAGCAATAACACGTTTAGCTTGTATTAAACTGAAATCTATGAGCTTCTTTTTGCTTGCATTTACTGACATACTTTCAGGATATATATGCAATAAACAAAGCTTTGATTCCAAAGGAATATTTTCTCCGGTAATTTCACAGACCACAACCAAGAACCTCCTTCCAGAACATTTGCAGCTCCCTACACAATATTATTATTATTACAATTTAAAATAACTTTTCTATTATTATAGTTGTGCTGCTTAATAGTTTTGTGAAAACTTTGATACATTTTTTAGGATTCCTTGATGAATAGAAAGTTCTGTTTCAAAATGTGTTGTAACATTATAAATGTCTTTACTGTCATTTTTGATCAATTTTTTTTGTCTTTGCTAAATAAGTCTTAATTTCTTTTTTAAAAAATGTAACGTGACCTTAAACTGTTGAACAATAGCCTCTAGATATAAACCGGTTCAAATCCTATTTGATGTGGTTAATGTTGATAAAAGGTTTTGCTAAATTAGTGAAAATTGACATTTGCTGCAGAATTTTTCAGAACGTTATCTCCCATCTCCTTAAAAGGGTTCTTTACAATAACAGTACTTGTTTTTAAATTAATTGCAGATTTGATGGGTCAGAGAGTGTGGTGATTGTGGCTGCTCAGAAGCGCACGTTAGGTGGTCGTGAGCTGCAGCTGCCCTGCATGAGCTCGCTCACGTCCAAGACCTCCACGCAGAAGTTTTTCCTGCGTGTGCTGCAGGTCATCATCCAGCTTAGAGAAGACACACGGCGGGCTAACAAGAAAGCTAAGCAGACAGGAGGAAGACTGAGTAAGTCACTCTTTTTTTAACACAGAGGCGTCCTCTAATCCTTTAAGAACATTTCCACGCTTCATTTTGAACCTTTCAATTGAGTCTCTTCTCCCATTGAGCGATATAGACAGCTTCACAGGTCTCTCTAGATTTATTCTCCATTTGTCTCCAGGTTCGACCAGTCTGGGCTCGGCCAGCAGTATCCAGGCTGCGGTCCGTCAGCTAGAGGCTGAAGCAGACGCCATCATTCAGATGGTGAGAGAGGGGCAGAGGGCACGCCGTCTACAGCAGGCCCCCCCACCCTCTTCAGCTGCATCCTCTTCCGCTGCTGCTGCATCCGCTGCTGTGGCTGTGGCTGTGGCTGGATCGTCTGCCCCCAGTACCTCTGCAACCAACAACCCCCCCGCTGGCACGGCCAGCTCAGCCACGGTTAGCATGGGCCGCACTGACAGCAGGCAGACTGCTACAGACTGTACTCACCCTCACACACACTCATGCTGTTCATAATATCCTGAGTATTTCTTAATGATGCTATCTGACTTATCACTTATTACTGACTTATTTATCTTAGTAAAGTTACAATCCATTTTTTGAGGGACATATTGCACCGTATTTCACATAAGGCAGGACGAAAGGCTAAAGATGTTTCTCAGTTATTCGACAATATTTGTTGTTTAGGTCTGTCTCTATTGTAGATGCGTATTTCAGTACCTCAGATTCATAATGTTTAATATAAGAAGTAAAATATGGTAAAAATGTATGATTTTTTTTTTACTGCATTTACATTTATGTATTTAGCAGACGATATCTGTAGTATACAATGCCGGTTTTATTAGAGAACTAAATCAGAAAGCAAGCTAGAGTAAAGAAATGCAAAAATGAAATTTTTTCCTAAATGAACAATAATTTATGTAGAGTATTGATATAGTAATAATTTAACAATTTAGTTTAACAATAAATTGGGTAAACTGCAATATTTACCTTTTTTTCAGTTCAGAAGAAAAGATTTGGAAATTCATGCAAAAATGATTAAGACTTTCCAGCTCTCATTTTTGTTTAAACCTGAGAGTGTATTATAATCTTTAATGTGTTCATACTCCGAGGTGAAATATCCTGTCAAAAAGGTCTTTAGGAAACCTTAAAAATTCCAATTAAACTGACTGAACTCATGATGCTTAGTTTTATATCACCAACAAAATCATTGCGAAATATCTAAATTATTTATTATACTGCCAAGCCCTGATTAAACATCAGATATCATGATACAAGTAAATATTTGCTTGCAGTTCAAAATTAACATTATGCGTCCTGTGAAAGATCACCTCAGCTCTATTTATCAAACACTTGGACACTATTTTAAAAGTTACTAAACTTACACTGAACTCACAATTGTTTTCCAGTGACAAACCAAGTAATGCTGTCATAAGACCTACCAGTGACTCTTTTCTAAACCCCAAATCTCTGTTCCACTTCTCTACTGCTCTGCATTGTGCTGCATTTAATGCACAAAGTCTGTATGGTGCAGTGTTTGAGATATCTGAATGTTGCATGCATCCAGCTTTGTGATTCTCTCTCGTCTCTGGCTTTGTCTCTTTGTGTGTGGTTTGATTTTTGGCTGGCTGTCAATGCTTTTTTGCTTAAGCTCCATCCCAACCCCCTTTTTCTCGACAATGTCTGAATGTTTTGATGCATGATACTGAGTCTCAAGCACTGCTTCTGGTTTCAGTCTGTGATTACCCCCATTTCATCTTTTTTCCTACATTATACACTCTGTTTGTCTCTTCTTCTCTGTCGGGGGGAATTGTATTGAATCTCACCCTGTTCCTTGGTTCCCCTGGTTCAGTCGGAGGTGCACTCGGTTGCCGAGCCCCTAGCAGCTCAAAGAGATGATTCGCCCATGGATGTGGACCAGCCCTCACCCCTAGAGCAGGACCAGGCAGCATTAGGTGAGGACCTGTGAAACAATAGATGTGACATGATGGCTTAGGAACATCAGGGGATGGAATTATAGCATAGAAATCACTGAACTTCATCATATGTGACTGCTTTAATTTATAGTAGCACTGCAAGGTATCTACCAGTTATGTGATCTTAAAGTAATTTGGGAAAATGGATGAAAATGTGCTTACCTGGTGCTGCGTTGATGTAACTCGAGAAAAATCGTGGTCTGAAATGACTGGTTTATATAGAATGCTTGTTAAAATATGGTTTGTGTGTGTGTAGGTGAAGAGAGCAGCAGTCAGCAGGAACAAGAGGAGCGTTTGCCTGACCTGCCACTGTTGAGTGAGCAGCTATTGCTGGATGAGCTATGGAATATGCTAGGGGAGTGTCTGAAAGAGCTCGAGGAGTCTCATGACCAACATGCAGTTTTAGGTATATTTGTTTATTTATTTTTGAAGAATTTAAGAAATAAAGGAATTATTTTGTGCTAACAATTCTCGTTGTACTGTTGTAGTGCTTCAACCTGCAGTGGAGGCCTTTTTCCTGGTGCACGCCACTGAGAGGGAAAGCAAACCTCCGGTTCGAGACACTCGAGAGAGCCAAGAACACATTAGCAACAGTCTAACAAAGCCCTAGAGCAGGGATCCTCAAATCTGGCCCACGAGATCCACTTTCCTGCAGAGTTTAGCTCTAACCCTAATCAAACACACCTGAGCATGCTAATCAATGCCTTCGGGATCATTAGAAAATCACAGGTAGGGGAGTTTGATCAGGGTTGGAGCTAAACTCTGCAGTGCATTGGCCCTCCAGGGCAAGATTTGAGGAACCCTGGTGTAGAGGAACACATGATGGATGCTGATGAAGGCTGTCCTCGATATGAACTCCCTCTCTGTCTTAAACAGAGACCCACCGCACAGTGCTGAATCAGATCCTGCGACAGTCCACCACTCATCTGGCAGATGGGCCGTTCGCTGTTTTGGTTGACTACATCCGCATCTTGGACTTTGATGTCAAGCGCAAGTAAGATACTGCCTTTTATCCACCAAATTCCAAAGGAAAAATTAGTATTTAAAACATTATTATAATGTCATACAGTCTTCACTGAGCGCTTACACAGAAGCACACGGGAGAGTTTGAAAGCCTCAGCAGATGCCTAATGTATCTGTACATAGATGGATCCGCTGACAGACACTTGATTTCAAACTCTCCCGTGTGCTTCTGTGTAAGCGCTCAGTGAAGAGTGTGACGCGATGATCATTCTAGCCAATCACAGTCATATCTGTTGGGCGCGTGAACACATTGGCCAATCAGCTCAAGAATCCACTCAAATGTTAGCATGGTTTTTAAAATTTCAGTACCGACTGGTACCGAAGTCAGTACTTTTGACACTATTGTATGACAAAACATTATATGAAGAAAAAAAATTAAGTGTTTTTTTTTCTCCTAAATACTGTAATCTTATTAATATAATGCAAACAACACATAATTGCGATTACATTTTGTATTACCTTGATTTTTGATGTAATACTAATTATAAATTAGTGTATTAAAGTATTGAATGTCTATCAAGAATCATTATGGAGAATGAGAATTACAACAACTCGGAAGTAAAACATCTGTAATGTAGTATTTTGAATTTGTGGGAAATGTGCTATGTCAATATATCTAAACAGACTTTTTGTTTATGCAAAATATACTTTATCATTTTTATTTATTTCACGATTTTGTGGGTGAAATAAAACCCAGTTGCATGTATTTGTGTATTTTTTTTATTTTTATTTTCTCCTAAATACTGTAATCTTATTAATATAATGCAAACAACACATAATTGCGATTACATTTTGTATTACCTTGATTTTTGATGTAATACTAATTATAAATTAGTGTATTAAAGTATTGAATGTCTATCAAGAATCATTATGGAGAATGAGAATTACAACAACTCGGAAGTAAAACATCTGTAATGTAGTATTTTGAATTTGTGGGAAATGTGCTATGTCAATATATCTAAACAGACTTTTTGTTTATGCAAAATATACTTTATCATTTTTATTTATTTCACGATTTTGTGGGTGAAATAAAACCCAGTTGCATGTATTTGTGTATTTTTTTTATTTTTATTTTTTATGTATTTTTGGGGGGGGGTGGTTCTCCTTATTTGGGTTTCTTCTTTCTCTCTTTTTTTTTTTTTCTCTCTGGGTTGAGTCTTTTATCTAATAAGTGAGTCTCTTAGGTATTTCCGTCAGGAGTTGGAGCGTTTGGATGAGGGCCTGAGGAAAGAGGATATGGCCGTCCATGTGAGGAGAGACCATGTCTTTGAAGATTCTTACAGAGAGCTGCACCGCAAGAGCCCAGAGGACATGAAGAACAGACTGTAAATCTCTCACGCTTTCTCACTCTGCCACTCTCTCACGCAAAAGTGCCTAGTATTTTACACATAGCTGCAAGCAGCAAGAGCAAGGCAGTTTAGTTTTATTCTTATGGTTTCTTTCTCTACAGGTATATAGTCTTTGAAGGAGAGGAGGGTCAGGATGCAGGTGGGCTGTTAAGGGAGTGGTACATGATCATCTCCAGAGAAATGTTCAACCCTATGTACGCCCTGTTCCGCACTTCTCCTGGTGACCGGGTCACCTACACCATCAACCCGTCCTCCCACTGCAACCCCAACCATCTCAGCTACTTCAAGTTTGTGGGACGTGTGGTGGCTAAAGCAGTCTATGACAACAGGCTATTAGAGTGTTACTTCACACGCAGCTTCTACAAGCACATCCTGGGCAAAAGCGTCAGGTACCAGCAAGAATCTGCCAGGTTTAGGTCTTATTTATCTCAACGATCTTTATGAAACAAGCTGAATTTTTTTTGTGGTTCATAGGTATACAGACATGGAAAGCGAAGACTATCCATTCTTCCAGGGTCTGGTCTACTTGTTGGAGAACGATGTGTCTACTCTGGGCTACGAGCTGACATTCAGCACAGAGGTATGTATTTTGATACCAAGCATACTACCTTATTTCTGTCATTTTTAGTTATGAAGAAACCGGCATGATAATCACCTCCTACAGGTCCAAGAGTTTGGCGTGTGTGAAGTGAGAGATCTGAAGGCCAATGGTGCCAACATCCTTGTCACAGAGGAGAATAAGAAAGAATATGTGCATCTGGTCTGCCAGATGAAGATGACAGGTGAGCATTACACTCCAATAAACATCACTGCTTGTGAGAAACGGGGGGGTTCAGGAGTGTATCAGGGAGCTGAAACATCTGTGTTTCTCAGGTGCAATCCGTAAGCAGCTGGCTGCCTTCTTAGAGGGCTTCTATGAGATCATCCCCAAGAGACTGATCTCCATTTTCACTGAGCAAGAGCTAGAGCTGCTCATCTCCGGCCTGCCCACCATCGACATTGACGACCTCAAGGCCAATACAGAATACCACAAATATCAGTCCAGTTCTATTCAGGTTTGTACAAAAGGACAACATGAAATTAATCTATTATTTATTTATTGTTTTATGACTGATGTCTTCAACTCTGCACATCATTCTGAAGTTTTCCTTGATCTTTGATCAAAATGTCATTCACTTCTGTCACACAGCCAAGGAAAGGATCATAACCAATAGAGTGCTGCAGGGATGACGTATTTTTGCAGGCCAGCCTGGAATTTAGCGTCACCCTGGTTCTCTCAATAGAATTTTTCCATTTGGCTTTTGGATTATTGAAGAAAATAAGCTCTGTGACCAACAAATATTTAGGATTCTTATACATTTTACTCATCAACAATCTTCACAAATGAACACCGCTTTCTGAATTTAAGCCTAAATTTTGCCAGAAGAGAAAAGCTAAAGTTAAACAAACTACACCACAGACTTCTGTTTCAGCCCCACTAAGATTCCGACAACTCTTTAAATCTCTATGTAAAATATTAGATGAGTTTTCCTGTTTGGTGTGATGTTTAATGTCCCCAATAAACTCTGTAGTCCCATTGTAGTCCCCAACTTGTTAGCAACCACCTTTTTCAAGACAAGTAAAAGTGGGATAATGTATTTTATGTTGTAGAATAAAACATTATATCTTGAGCTTGTGTTAACCACAGACCTTATTTCAGGTATTTCACCAAAAACCCATTGACTTTGAGGCAGTGGAACCAGAAGTGCAGAAATCCTGACTCATTTCTGGGTTTTAGGACTTAATCCTGCAGCACTCTATAATTTTTTAGCCAGCGAGTTATTTTCCTGCTATGTTTTGTACTTGTTTTTTTTTTTGGTCTTAATAGCCCATTGAAGCATTTACTTCTCCAGATGTATTCTCTACCTGGTTTCAATTTTCTGTCCTCCTCACTCTCCACAGATCCAGTGGTTCTGGCGTGCATTACGATCCTTTGACCAGGCTGACCGAGCTAAATTCCTGCAGTTTGTTACAGGCACATCTAAAGTGCCACTGCAGGGCTTTGCTGCACTGGAGGGAATGAATGGCATCCAGAAGTTCCAGATCCACAGAGATGACCGCTCCACTGACCGCCTGCCCTCTGCGCACACTTGGTAAATGAGCCCCGATGCCTCAAAACACACAATACAAATGTTTCCACATGATGCATTCAGAAATTCCATAATGCATTTAATAAAGCAGCTCTAAAATATACGTGCTACATTGCATGGCAATTGTGGTCTTATGCGCAACAAAAAATTCTTTGACACCTCTTATTCTCTCTCTCCTAACAGCTTTAACCAGTTGGACCTCCCAGCGTATGAGAGCTACGAGAAGTTAAGACACATGCTGCTGATGGCCATTCAGGAATGTTCTGAAGGCTTTGGACTGGCCTAAAGACTGTCCTAAACCCGTACACAGACACACACACACAGAGATATGTAGACTTACATGTTGTTAACTTATGACACACATGCATATTCACACTATCATACATACGGCCAAGACCTACTTCTAATCCACATAAAACAAACAGATGGACGGCTAAACGAGTGACAGAGATTTATTGACATTGCCTACTACACACAGAGCCTCTCATTGACACACAACGAACTGTATTTGGTATATGTGTGTGTCTCACTTCCCTATTAAAATTACAGAGCCTGAGAGGATCACAAAGGATATCTGCGGACTAATATAAAAGACATTTTCTCCATTTAGTTTGGTTTCTCTGTACAAAAGGTTTGGGAGTTTATTATGTTTAATCTTTTTTGTTCTTCTCTGGCTGTTAAAAAGGAGAGGACTGTTTTGTGTGTAAAGAGGATGGTTGTAACCCTCTGGCGTGGGGTGGGGGTGGGTCCTGTGATTGTCCTCTGTTGCTAATGTGTGACCTCACTAGCTTTGCAAATGGGAACTTTAATTTGGGGGAGGGGAAGTCATGGACAAGGGTGGGAGGGCGAGAACATGGAGTGAGGTTTTGGTGAAATTGCAGACGTGCAGGGATTTTCAGAACGGGGACATTTTTAGGCAACTTTTGTGGTATTTTTGGAGAGGAACACAGATTTGAGAAGTGAAGGACTGAGACGTGCTCAGACACATGCGGTTATTACCCAACTGCTGATGCAGCCTCTCAGCAGCTAATCAGAACGTAAATTGCTACATAAATAAATGCATAAAATGAGCCCACTGTGTCCTCTAGAGTTGTTTCAATGTATGCCTTACACATTTGCTCTAACAGGAGCAAATATCATTTATATGTTAAGAAATATACTGATGGAGGTCCATGGAAACTAACTTGACACATGCTGTGGGGTCCAAGTATTAAAAGCTCTATTCTTCATCCTGAGTTATGTATGAGGAATTCTGTCCAGTTATTGATCACCTGCATGAGTGTCACATTTATTGCTTTGGGTTTTTGTTTATCAGCATTTTAGGACAGGCTTTTTAGCCTTTGTTCTTGCCCTCTTCCACTCTTTTTGCATGGGAGCTGGTGTGAAGTGCAATGAGTGGCTCAGACCATCTGGAGCTTCCAGTAATGTCCCTGCTGGGCTTCCGTGCTGTTAGGATACAGTTCATCACACCTGCTTTCTCCTCCTCACCCCAGACTGCAGGAGTCCACTTGGCTAGATTGACAGCTCTCAACATAAAGTGCAAGATCAAAGGTTGGAGCCGTGATCATTTCCTGAATTTCAATGTTTCTTCTGTTTATTCCATTGAATTGGTATACCAAAAATGACCAGTCATTTAAAAATTGCTGGTAAATCTCTCATTGTGCTATATTGTCAACATATCTTAGATTAAATGTTTTGTCAACTTGTTTTCTTTCAATTAACACAGGTTTTGTATTTCTTTTTGGAACCAACTGATTGTAGGCCTCATTGATCTGAGCTCAGCACCTCAGAGCATGAGCTCAGATTAATCGGTTTCAAAAATAAATACAAAACTAGTTGAAAGCAAACAAGTTGACCAAAAATTTAATCCAATATTTGTTAACAATATAGCATAAATTATAGCATATAAAACCTGTTTTATATATATCGTATTTTTTGGGGGGGAAGTTGTTACACCCTGTGTGAGCAAAGTCAGCATGTTTTAGTCCAGTGTGATAACATTTCACTAGCATTTTCAGGCAAAAGAAAATCCTCTCCAGGTCAAAATGACCAGAATACAAGATGAAGGTTAAACCATCAGAATGTGCCTTTAGCTCACTGTTATGCAGACTATGAAAGTTTATTTTTTACCCCCAAATCTAGGTCTAATTACCAGCACTAACAGTGAAGGAAATTATGCATCTGCAAATAACCTATTTTTTCCATCATTAGTGTTTTCATTCAATTGTTTTAATTCTCATTAAAGGTGTATGCAATTTGACTTGCTATAAAAAGAGAATTTTCAAGGTCAGACTAAAACTGATTCTGTATACAGTTTACCTCAACATTGTATGTCCAGAAAAACTTCTCATAATATTTGACAAATCAGTTATGATTTTACATTTCAGACTGGCCAGCAGAGGGAGTGCAGTGATCCAATAGTCATTAAATTTACACAATAATACTTCTAAAAATCATTTCTAATAATTCCATAAATTTTTTCAGGTAAAAATTTATCAGTTATGGTGACCTGTATGAAAAATGTTACATTTTTGACAGTATGGACTATTAATCCAGTGGTTTAAATATAACCTAATACATGATTAGCATGATGTTTGATTAAACCTTTTTTTTTTTTTTTTTTGGCAAGTGTTTTTGTTTTGCCTGATCAATAAACAAATCAATAGTTATTAATAATGCAAGCAGTGTGGAGAAAGCATTTGTGCAGGTATCCTACACAAAGTTGCTCTTATGGTTTTCTCAATGTTTTTCAGTTGTCAGTTTATTATCAGATTCATATTTGGGAGAATGTCTAGTGCGAGGCATAAGGCCAGTTCATTAATGAAGTGTGTTTTTTGAGGGAAAGCCAGAGCACTTTTAGTGTAGTGCAGTGTGCATAAATCAGCTTACGTATTGACTATCCTAGAGAAATGATAAGGAAGGAAATAAATGGGCTGCTTCATTTTTCAGGCCGACTGAAAGGCAATTAACTTCATGCTCCTAAATGAGAATGTATATTTTAACCTTGAGTAGTGCTAGTGATAACTTCCTGAACAGACGTCCCATTTAATGCTATTATATTAAGCTGTGAAAAGCTTCACTGTATGATCCAGCAAGTCTTATTGTTTGCAGAGGATGTTACAATTAGTTTTAGGCCATTATGCATATGTAATGACATTATCAGTGACCGTGTTTATGGGAAACAATTAAGAGCTGCTAAGATTTAAATAAATGTACTGGTATTTTTCAGAGTATAATTTTAGATCTTTCAATTCTATGACAATGTGCGAAAAGTCGATGCGATTGAATTAACAGTTGCATTTTTAGTTGCATTTTTAGTGGCAACATCTTTCACATTTTCACCGGTTGTTCAATGAATCCCACTGCAGAACCCGAAATGTCACCTTTTAAATGTTTTCTCACCTTTGTTCTTCTGCTTCACTTGCTTCTCATCAGTCTGGAAATGGATTGGGAGTCTGCTCAAATCAGGCTGAGAAAACCTCTTTCCAGTAGCACAGACACCACTGCGGCTGGCATGACCTCATAGTCAAATTAACTTATGAACAGACTGCATTCTAGCAGTGGCCATTATAAATCATCAAGCGCTGACTTCCTCCTTCCTGTCTTCATCTCTGGTCTCTGTTTCCCTTTATCTTCATCTCTCTCACTCATTTTCAGCACAATAACCAGAGACCTCGGGAGAGAGAGATTAACGTCATAGCTTGTCCCACTTTAGATCCTGAGGAGAGAAGCTGGATGAAACAATTGTGCTGTTTTGTCTGTATTTGTGACCAAAAGACTGAATGAATAATGAAGAGTTGAGTGTGTTACACTGTGGGCTCTCTTGCAGATTTAAAACATCATGCAGATGGGATCGGTAACGGTTAACCTGATATTTCCAGCCAGAGAGGTTGCATTTAAATGCACGTTACAACATGGGACCACTCTTGGGGTCACTGGTTTAGCTTGGTTATTTTGCGGCTGCTAATAGATGAATTGAATTCATTAAGTGGATGTGAGGTCATTCTGATGGTCTGACCTAGTGTTAATCACTAGTAATTGAGTAATTGAAGGGTAATGATGGAGGCAGAGCTCAGAGGCTTCTCTCCAACTCATGAATTATTGACAGACCAAAAAGTCCAGATTATTTAAATGTAATATTACAATTAGTGCCACGTTTACCGTTGACTGCACGGTTAATTTTTTTTTATAAAAAATAAAACCAAGACTATTGGAGTAGATTTGACTAAATTGCATTACTTGCCGTTTCATAATTATCTGAAATTTACTTGCAATTTCTGAGTGAAAATAGTTTAAAAGTAATTCCTATACCATTTTTTTCTGTGTGCATGCAATTTTGATGCAGTTTTGCAAAATGCAGCAAATATGTAATTATGCAGTAAATGCATGTATACAAATATTATATATACATATTACATATACATGAATTACATGTACAAATATGTAATTATGTAAATATGTAATTACATATAATTATGTAATTATTAAAAAATTATTCTATGATGCAGATAGTGTGTGTGTGTGTATTTATACTGTATATATACATACTTTGGAATATAGACAAACTTAGAATTGGTAGAGTTTGTAAATTTCTGAATGAAGTCTCTTGTGCTCAATTAGGCTGTATTTATTTGATCAAAAATACAGTAAAAACAATTATTTATTATGTTATTGCAATTTAAAATGACTTCCAATTCGATAGATAGATAAGGATAATCTTGTACCATATTGATATAAAAATACGTATAAAAATAAGAAAATGTATTCAATTTGTTATGAAGTGCCTTAAACGTGTTGTCAAAGTTTCCCAAAGCCTTTATGAGTTTAATAAAAAGCTAATAATTAAATCATAAATATGTTAAATTATTTTTTTTTTTTAAATGAATCAAAATAAAACTGTTTTTAGGTTAAAGTATACAGTGAAATATATAGTACCGAATCAACAGCTATTGGAATATTTCTCTGTGCATATAATGAGCATATTCTGATTAATTCTCTGCTATTTAAGTGTGGTGAATTATGAAATATATAGGTCATAACTGTCGTTGCTACAAAAAAGAAAGTTTCTTGAATTGCTATTTTTAGCTTGTAGGGATGCAGGTTTGAATCTGATCTGTATAGCATTTTGATCCCAATCCCGCATCTTTGTGTCGTTCTTGACTTACCTATAAAAAAAAAAAAAGTAAAAAATATGAAAAATCATCAAATAGTAGGCAAGGGCATTGAAATAATCAAATAAGGCATCCCCTGTTTTCATTTCCAGTTCATTTTTCCACCACTTTTCCGCCATCTCTAGAGTGCCACTATTTTAGAAAAGAGCCCAGCTGTTTGATACAGAAATATCAATCCTACCTATCCTTTGATCATAACGCTGTAATTTGGTTTTTGGTGGTTGACAGTCTATTTGTAGCCTTTGCAAATCACACTTATTCAAAGCAGCTGTTTTGCATGAGCTTTTGTTATTGCATTTGATGCCATTAATGCAAACTGGCAACTCCCTGCGCAAGGTTTTCTAGATGAACCTTCAAGCTTCATTTGTCCTGCCTGATTCAGGATGTGCTCATGGACCTGTCACAAATTGAGATCCTTTAACAGAAGGCTGGGCATTAGTTTCCAGTTAAAGGGCAGCGACTGGTGTTTTTCAGCATGTGTGTGTGTCATGAGACACCTGCAGGAATGCCTCTTCCTGTAAGTGTGGCACTGAACACAAAGCCAGATAATGTCACGTAACAAAGAGATTCATTCTAACTCACTCACAAGCACTGATCTTTACTGTATATACAGACTCGTCTGTAGTGTGCTTTCATGCAGACTGAGCAGGGTGATTGTGTAGATGGAGAGATGAAAGCATCTGATTGCTTATTTTTACCTTACATTTTGCAAGGCGTCCCCTTTCCCCATGAATCAAATTGTGCGTGATTCATTAGTCATTCAACCGTGCGCTAGTTTGAGTAAAAGGCACCTTTAGTCACAATATATCAGCCTCAAGAGTGGCTGGACAGATTTTACTTTTATTTCCCAGAAGTGATTTCATTCACAAATAAAATGGTTCAAATAGTTTAGAGGGGCATAAATGAAAGGTTTCCTCTTGCACAGTTTATTTCACACCTTTACGCTCTTTTTGTGTATAATCTCCATATACACTGTAAAAATGGTTTAAATATTTTTTTTCTTATAATTATAATCAATATTTTAACTCTTTGAAATATTAAATGCTTTTTCACTTGAAGTGAAATTGTATATCATGATGATAAATGTATTTTTTATAGTTTTAAACTTGGCTTTAGTAAGGTTTATGATTCAAACATGAAAAAAATAAAAAAAAATAAAATGAGAAATATATGCATTATATACACGCTACTGTGCATATTAGAATAATTTCTTAAGTATCGTGACACTGAAAACTGGAGCAATAAAAAATATTAAAATAATTTTTTTTTAAATATAGTATAAATAGTATACAGTAATGTGTATATATATCATTAGAAAAAAATATTTTTAAATGTAAAATAGATGTAATGTATAGATATATAGAAGGTGTGAAAACTATGTATAATATATGATATATAAAGGTGTCTTGCATTTAAAATACAGTATCATTTTACAGTAAAGTATACTGTAAAAAATAGTATTTTCACCTTTTCTTTTCCCTTTTCTTTTATTCAAGTCAAGTTTTTTTTTGTCTTTTTATCTGTCATATTCTGTGTCCTATGTATAATTAATAATAATAATTTCAGATCTTTTAATAAAAATTTGGATTACTGAAAGAAAATAATAAAATAAATAATGATAATAAAATACATTATCCTGAAATTAGGTCCTCTTTTTTTTTCTTTGCCACGTTTGTATATATCAATATAAATATGCATCTTCTCACAGACAAGTATATTGCTATGAATGCTTAAATTTTTTTTTTTTTTGCCAATAATAGTGATTAAGAAAGTGATTTTTCTTTTCTTATTTTATTTTTTACACTATATATGTGTATTATACACAAAAAAATAGTATAACTCCACACTCCTGGATCTTCTCTTTCTATATTTCATCTGACACTTTCAAGGAGAGAGCGTAGGGAGGGATAAACGGAAAGCTTTCCCTGTGCCACCATACAAATGCTGCATAACAATGCACTAATTAGCATAACATATAGTTCTCATTCTTATTACTCGCTCCCACCAAACCAACAGCAAGAAGCCTTTAATGGTGCTGTAGAACAGCTCTCTGCGTTTTACTCTGCCTGACTGATTCTCTCCTCCTGTTCTGACAGATCCTGCCAATCACCGACAAAATTATGGACACATTTCATCTGGCACCAGGGGAATGCAGAGTGGAAATCAGGATGAAGACAATAAAGGAATGGTCAGAGTATAAAGGGAAGGGAGGAGAAGAGGAGAGTGAAGAAAAAGAGGCAGGGAGCTAGAAGAAAAAGGGTGATGTCACTGGCTCTTGATGGCAGCCAATCAGAAACGGGGAGAGGCAGCGAGGGAGCCAGGAGAGGGTGTGTTTTCCTCGCACTGCAGCATCAGCAGTGAAGAGAGGCCACAATCAATCTGACACAGAGCAGGAGACACAAGAACCTTCAGGGACAGATAAAACAACAGAGTTGCCAGAGGAGGACGGAAACCCGAAGCCTGCCGTTTCTGAACTGCAGAGGTGAGTGGAGAAGGCTGTCAGTGACCGTGTCAATAGCATTTAGTGTCTGATCGATGTCAAACAGAATTGGCTTGTTTTTGCTGATTTTTCTTGTGGTTTGATGATCACACCTTTGAGACTTAAGGTGCAATGATGTAGCAGTGAGGCTGCTGTGTGGTCTTGCAAACTGGAGCTGTACCATTCAAAATAATTGCATTGTATTTATCATTTATGCATTTTTTATTAGTTCCTATAGTGTTGCATTTAGACCTTTAAGTATGAAAAAAGCAAATAATATTTTATTTAAACTTCAGTGTGTTAAATGAGATGCTAAATGCGTTTTGATTATTTTTAGTTTAATTTTTTTTAAAGATTTCTTTTTTGTGTGATGTCACATTGTCTCACTCTTGAGTTGCCCTGTCTGGTAAACAGAAACCGTTCTCTGGTGGATTTGCGCACATCCCGTGTGAAATCAGCAACAGGCTCTTCTGTTTTCATCTTTACTGCAGGACTGTGCTCTTGCTTCGAATATTAGTGCTGGTTTGGTTGCATTTTGCAGCCTCGTATTGACCTAGACCTAATGCCAACATTTGTTGTATTTAATAAGATTTACTTTTAGCTGGCTGTTGTTTCATTTGGAACAGTTGCTCTAGTGTTTTTTAATGCATTAATGTTTGAAAGTGCCCGTTTTGTTAGCACTGTGATGTTGTTAATAATTTATGTTTTATCTATGGTTGGTCCTCCCTCCCCCTCGTTTTGCTGGGCCGTGTAATTGTGTTAATCACCCATGAGAGTATTGTGGTGTTGAGAGTACTGGTGGTCCGCAGTGCTGCCCTTCACAGTGGTGTGTTGGTGTGTGCGGTACTGAAAACAAATAATGACGCTTTGATGGGGCAGGCGGCAATAGCAAATATATGAGTGTGAGAGCATTGGGTGGGGTCTGCATTTATTTTCAGTCTCTTAAATGCAGACACACTCACCTGGCGGCACGCCAGCATGTTTGATTCAGGGTGGGTCTCACTCACAGCGCTCAGGCTGCAAATTATTAGCACTGTTAGCAAAGTTTAGGGTGTATCGCACTATATAAATCTATATAAAATATATGAAATTCAACAAAAAAACAAAAATGTAGTATCATGGTGCAGTGATTATATTAATTTATATATTATAGGGTTTTCATGGCTTCCATATACATTTTTAAATACATTTTCATTTCATTTCATTTCATTTGATTTTATTACACAAAAGTACTGTGGTAGTACTTTTGGTACAGTGATTATATTTATATTATAGGCTTATTATAATATTCATATCCATGGTATTTTCGTGGTATTCCAAGTACTTTAAAGAATAGCATTATTTTACCATAAAATTAAAAATTAAATTTTAATTTTACAATATAAGTGCTGTGGTAGTACCATGCCACAGTGATTATTATAATCATTAACCATGGGATTTACATGATGCTCCAAGGTACTTTACAAATGGCATCATAATACCAGGGGCGCCGCAATGGTTTCTGGGCCCCCCGGACAGCATATTCACATGGGCCCCCTGCTTTCCCGGGGTTTGGACATGTTCCCCCTCCGTACAGATCACGTTCCCCTCGGTAAATCGTGTTCCGGGGGGGTCCCCCCTCGGTAGAAATCGCAATTGCGTTCCCTTCGGTAGAAATCACGTTTCCCCCTCGGCGGCCCCCCTCCATCATTGGGCCCTTAGAATCGTCCTAACCTTCCCCCACCCCCTCCCCCTTTACGGCGCCCCTGCAAAATTGTTAATTTTCTCTTACATAAAAGTACTGTGGAAGTACATTGGAACTTTAAAGAATACCATAAAATCATAAAACATGTTGTTACCATGGCACAATTCAAAACCATGGTATTTATGTGGTATTTTTAGCTTTTAAAAAAAAGCACTGTGGAAATACCATGGTACAATGATTATCATATCACATGAATTGTATTTTCATGGTAGTCTAACGAATACCATAGTACTATGAAACATGTTTTTACCATGGTACAATGATTATCATATTCAAAGCAGTGGTATTTATGTGGTATTCCAAAATAATCCAAAGAATACCATAAAAATTCCATGATTTTATTGTATAATTAAACATTTTCATTTACTTTTACAAAAACGTACTGTGCCAGTACTAGTTTAGAGTGATTATGTTATGTTGTTATGTTATAATTATATATATATTATATATTACAATTACTATTGAATTTTTTGTACATTTTGTATAGAGCTGTTTATGGAATAATGATTGCGATGTTTAAAACCATGGTATTTATGTGGGTGTTTCAAGGTAATTCAAAAGATACCATGCCTATACCATGATTTTGTAGCCTCAGTTTATCTCCCTGCAAAGGAATTTTGACTAGTTGCCTGTCGCTGACTGACAATGACTTGTGTCTTTCTAGGATAAATCACTCAGAATTGATTATTGACAAGGTGTCTGTAGATGGCTAACAGGTGCTTGGGCCGTGAGAGTGCGGAGTGATATCCATTCTGTGCTCCACATCCATCATACTGTAGGTTCTCTTGCTTTTACTGTACCATAGAAACAGCATGTGTGCACGGAAAAATATGATCTGCCTCTGCAAAATCTTCTCCTGAGAGGCAGAGGCTTTAATTGAGCTGTGTGCACAGATGGATGGATGGGCTGGAGAGATTTAGGAGGGATGAAAGAAAGGAAAGAGGGTGGGGTCACATTTGACAGGCGAAGCCGTTGTGCAGGCCGATAATATATGTGCTCTTATGTTGTCTGAGGAGATCAACAGGGAGAGAGAGAATGGGTGCAAGGTCAACAAGGAAGGGACAGGAACGGGGAGGGGTCAATTAAAAGAAGGAGTGAGAAAAAGAGCCATCACTCTTTTTTGATGACATCGGTTTTGACATCTGAAACACTTTTAAAATAAATTGAAATAGAAAACGGTTCTTTTAAGTTGTTATAATATTTCACAACATTACTGCTTTTACTGTATCTTTGATTAAAAATCAATGCAGCCTTAAGCATAAGCTTTTTTTTTTTAACAAAATTTATTAAACATCCGTATTAATATAGCAGCATGTAAGAATAACACTATAAACGCAAGCTCTCAGATGCAGAGCATCTGTTGTGGATGTGCCGGTTACAGAGGAGCTCTTGGGAGAAACAGCACAGCCCGCGAGTCTCCACAGCCACCTGTTATCGCCTCAGGGCCTTGGTGTCACTGGCACATCCTGCTCCCGAAAAACACGCCGGGCAAAAAATCCCCCAATAACACCTGTTTTAAGTACCCATGCAGTAGTGAAAGCTTTACAACCTACTGCTGCCACTCTGCTGATGGGGTCGACCTCCAAAGAGAGACAGACACATTAGTTAAAACCATTTGTAGAGGCTGGCGAGGCTGCGGTTGGAGCAGCTCTCTGCAGACAGGAGGGGGATGACAGAGGCAAGACAGAGACAGTCAGACGAGCCTGGAGGACGACAAGGAGGGGGGCAGGATGTATTAGGATGATTTAAAGAGCGCACAATGACGAAACTTCCCTGTTAGGGAAGAATAAGTACTAATAGGTGGAAAAGTGACTGTAAGTTTCTACATGAGTTCATAAGATGTAAGAAGGGTGAATGGGGAAGATGCACAGCAGCCCAAAATTTATTTGGACACTTATGACCCATATGTGACCCTGGACCACAAAACCAGTCATAAGTAGCACAGGTATATTTGTAGCAATAGCCAAAAATACATTGTATGGGTCAAAACGATCGATTTTTCTTTTATGCCAAAAATCAATAGGATATTAAGTAAAGATCATGTTCCATGAAGATATTTTGTAAATTTCCTAC